CGTTGGGTTGCTCGGTCAATGGCCTGCAGGGTCAACGGCGGCGTGGTGTATTCCGCAAATATGCCCGACTGTGAGGGCGGGCACAAGCCGGCGTGAGTAGGTTAAACGTTGAGTTTTATAAGGACACCACGGGGTGACCAGCCCCTCCCCACCCAGCCCCACCCCTCCCACCCCACCCAGCCCCTCCCTCCCCACCCAGCCCCGCCCCACCCTCCCCACCCAGCCCCTCCACACCCTCCCCTCCCCACCTAGCCACACCCAGCCCCTCCCCTCTCCACCTAGCCCCTCCCTCCCCAGCCCCTCACCACCCTCCCCTCTCCACCCAGCCCCACCCCTCCCATTTTTAGATGCACGACGGACGGACGAACACAATTATCCCCTGTAGGCTGGTGGAACCAGGAGGTTCCTACCAGTATAAGGACGGAGCTAATTCACGGTAAAGAGAGCGAGCGAGCGAGCGAGAGAGAGAGAGAGTGAGCGAGAGGTGAGGGTTTACATAAAGCAAAGTTTAAAAATCAAAAAAAAATTACGAAATGATGAACGAAGCAAAGTGCCGACTACACCGAGCATCTTCTTGTTTCCAACTGATCGTAACAAAAATGAGAGACACACACAGAGAGAGAGAGGGCACATGACCGATCTCCGCTGTTGTGTCCCGTTGCGAGCCCCCGAGAAGGATGCATGGAGCTGGCTCACATCAATGAGAGGATAGGCTTCAAAGTACGGGAAGACATCAATAATCTAAAACGCAAACGACTCCTGTTATCTGCTGGCAGGATTCCTTTGCGCGGAAATTGGGAATTATCTTTGGCGGAGGATATCATCAAGATTCCATCATCAGCATCGTCGTAGGAGATATTAACTACCTTGCCTGGTATACAGGAGGTCATGAGTTCGATCCCGACCCTGACGCCTGCTGCTATATATTTGGAGTTTGCGTCTCTCATCATCATCACGGTGGCTAGGAGATGTTAACTACCTCGCCTGGTTCACAGGTGGTCGTGAGTTCGATCCCGACCCTGACGCCTGCTGCTGTACATTTGGAGTTTGCGTCTCATCATCATCACGGTGACTAGGAGATGTTAACTACCTCGCCTGGTATACAGGAGGTCGTGGGCTCGATCCCGACCCTGACGCCTGCTGCTGTATATTTAGAGTTTGCGTCTCTCATCATCATCACGGTGGCTAGGAGATGTTAACTACCTCGCCTGGTTCACAGGAGGTCGTGAGTTCGATCCCGACCCTGACGCCTGCTGCTGTATATTTGGAGTTTGCGTCTCTCATCATCATCACGGTGGCTAGGAGATGTTAACTACCTCGCCTGGTACGCAGGAGGTCATGGGTTCGATCCCTGATGCCTGCTGCTGTATATTTGGAGTTTGCGTGTCTCTCTCTCATCATCATCACGGTGGCTAGGAGATGTTACCTAACCTCGCCTGCTACACAGAAGGCCGTGGGTTCGATCCCTGACACCTGCTGCTGTATATTTGGAGTTTTCGTGTCTCTCTCTCTCCCCGTGGTCGCGTGGATTTTTCTCCGGGTCCTCCGGTTTTTCCCCTCCACATTTAGAACCGACGTCACGCGCTTCGAGTCTTCGGCTGCTGTGAATTTCCACGCGACGATAATGAGCCACTCTCTTTGTCGAGATGTCATCTGTGACGGGCGAGGTAGCTTCTTCAAAAGAGGTGCATAACTCAGTGGGGCCTTACCTGGTTAAAAAATAATAAAAAAGAGTTTATTTTTAGTGATTATGACCTTTCTTATACTTTACACTCCCATCGTGTGTTTTTAAAATCCTTTATATTAAGTTCACTTGCTTGCTTGCTTGCTTACGACCGTGCAAATCTTTCGGTCGTTTTTTAACCCACTTCCCGTGATCCAATCGAGCTGACATTTTGCACACAGACTCGTTATGCATGACAATTTATTTTCGTGAACATTTTTTTCCAAAATGTTACACTTTTTAGGAAAAAATAAATTATATTTAATTACCAATTGCTTAATGGTGGCAGGCAATCATCTGACCCATAGGTGGCAGCCATCTCAAGCCAGAGGACGAGAGGACTCTAGCCGCCACGCATATAAAGGATTTATAGTGAAAAACTTTGTTTTTACGGGTTAATTTTTTTTGTGCGTGCGTTTTGTGCATTGTTGTAACTTTCTGAGCCGCCCCTACCGGACATTGAGATTATTATTTAGATTCTATGTTGCTGCTATAAATGTCCAAAAGACAAGGTGACTTTGTTGAGCTCTCATTCGTGATGGCAAAGTCGCTTCTGAATAAGTAACATTTAAAAATACTTTTTTTAAACACGCCTTAATGAAATGTACCGTATTCGTAATGGAAGAACTCCACGACTCCAGGAAGTGGCCCCGAAGCTTGCCATAACGTAAGGGGCAGTGGTGGATTTACAGCCAACGTCAGTTGAGCGTGGACAATTAGACCCAAGGCGAAACATGACATATAAAAAAGAATGTTTTAAAAATATATATTTTTTATGATAGAATATGGTATTGTCATCAGCGTGACATAAGTATACCAAGTTTGCAGTCGATACCACATTGGGAAGTGGGTTAAAATTGAGTTGCAAGATTTGAGGATACGACAACAACTACGACAACAGACAGAGTGAGTTAAACAAAAGCGTGTAACAATAATAATAAAAAGAGCTACAGCGAAGCGGAGCGGGGGGCCTTACCTTGTAAAAGTATAAATCAATATAGAGTTCATACGGGTAGGAACCTCCTGGTTACACCAGCCCACAGGGGATTATTGTGTCCATCGTGCAGGGAGGGGCTGGGTGGGGAGGGAGGGGCTGGGTGGGGAGGGAGGGGCTGGTGTGGGGAGGGAGGGGCTGGGTGGGGAGGGGAGGGTGGGGAGGAGCTGGGTGGGGAGGGTGGGTGGGGCTGGGTGGGAGGGGAGGGGCTGGGTGGGGAGGGGCTGGGTGGGAAGGGTGGGGCTGGGTGGGAGGGGAGGGGCTGGGTGGGGAGGGGCTGGGTGGGGAGGGGAGGGTGGGGAGGGGCTGGGTGGGGAGGGGAGGGTGGGGAGGGGCTGGGTGGGGAGGGGAGGGTGGGGAGGGGCTGGGTGGGGAGGGTGGGGAGGGGCTGGGTGGGAAGAGTGGGGCTGGGTGGGGAGGGGCTGGTCACCCCGTGGTGCCCTTATAAAACTCAATGTTTAACCTACTCACGCCGGCTTGTGCCCGCCCTCACAGTCGGGCATATTTGCGGAATACACCACGCCGCCGTTGACCCTGGCCAATGACCGAGCAACCCAACGTTCCTACCAGCTCCCTCCGCAGGAATGTGTTTATTTTTCATTTAAATTGTCCATCGGTGCATCTCCTGTCGCCCACTGCCTCGCGAGAGAGGGGGGGGGAGGCGCCTTCGTCAACCAGACGGAGCCATCGAGGAGACTTTGAGAGTCGAGAAGCTCGGCCTCTCATTTCGCCTCCTCTTCAGCGCTCGCTTAAACCATTTCAGAAGATTCTAGATTTGAAGCTTTCGTGACTTGCAAGGATTCGTACTCTTAGTTTTTTCGGTAAAGTCACGTAGGTAAAAAATGAAATGAAAATTAATAAAAATAATTAATTTTAATTTCATTTTGTGACTTTACCGAAAAAACTAATAAAAATAATTAATTTTTATTTCATTTTTTACCTACGCGACTTTACCGTATGAATTTCAGAAGAGTCGCGTCGAAGGAAAAAAATAAAATAAAACATGATAAAATAAATGTTTTATTTTTATGATTTTATTACTTCCCTTCTACGTGACTTTACCGAAAGCACCAAGAATATGAATCCATGCAGTCACGAAAGCTTTAAATCGATATTTAAATCGCAAAAAAATCGGAAGATGTTGGAATAACCCCCCACCCACTCCACCGCACATCCGATTAGCACGGTCTGGCTACGACGTACGGTGCGAAAAAAGTTCAACGTACAAAGACAAAAGAGCCCCCCTCCCCAACCCCCGTATAGCATTAACAGACTGTAGGGGCAAGTGCTGCTACAGCGAGCAGCCTATGAAGGCCGGCACGGCGCACGAGAGGGTGGGTGGCCAGCACCATGCCCGGCCGCCTTTGTCTCCCCCATTGGCGATGTTTACTACACACCGCACCGGGTACTCATTTGAGGCTGAGTCGACCTAGGTGAGGCCCGGGACCGGTTCAGATAAATCGTCACTGCCGGTCTTGGTGGCCGTGTGCGTCAATCGACCTCGGCGTTGCATGTTTCGTAGCGCTGCGTGGCGCTAACCGCTGCGCCACCGCTCCCTCCCCTCCCCCTCCTCCTCCCTCTCCATCATCAACAACCACCACCACCATCATCATCCTTGCGACCAGTCACTCCACTGCGGCTGCACGAGCGGCGATTTCGGGATCGAAAAGTCGCTCCGTCTCCGCGCGGGAGGGGCGGGGCGACTTCCGCATGGAGACGGAGCCGCTCCTCTCGAGGGGATTTCAGAGGGTCGGGGTGGAGAGGGGAGGACGTGGTGGTGGTGGTGGCGGGTGGGGGATGTCACCCTACATTTAAAGCTTAAAAAAATAAGAGCCCTGCATTAGTAAATACGAAAAAAAAACACAGTCAATGTATTTTATCTGTTAAATATTAATAAAACAAAATGTGTTATTTTGGTCGTGTCTCAACCTGTGGGGTGGGGGGGGGGCGGCAATCGCCCCATCACCCCCTCCCTTCTCCCCCCCCCCCCCCCCTTGGATCCACCACTTGAACACAACAACACCACCATCACCACCACCACCAAGCAGCAGCAGCACAACAACAACCACAACCACCCAGCGCTGACTGGCTCTCCGCTGCGTTCCGTGAAACCCTCGCCTCTCCCGTCATCTCGCATCCAAACAAACCGCAGCAGCAGGAGCAGCAGCAGTAACAAAGAACAGCAGGAGCCAACGATGGCGAGTGGAGGAGGAGGAGGAGGAGTGGGGGGAGGAGGAGGAGGAAGAGGAGGAGGAGGAGACAGAGGAGGGGCAGCCACGACTACTCCGCTCTCTCCACCACCTTGCTCGTCGTGACGAACGCGCCTGCTGCTGCTGCTGCTATCGACGCAGATGCCACCGCCTCCCAGCGTCACATCTGCCCGTGGGGGTCTCAGCGTGCCATCGCGACGAGCGGACGAGGAGGGGAGAGAAGCAGCCGTAGCGACGGGAGCGGGAAGAAGAGGAGGAGGAGGAAGCGCTGAGCTTGGAGATGCGTGAGACGAGAGAATGGAGCCGAGACACGGCGACGCGGAGTCGTGTAGAGCAGCATCAGCAGCAGCAGCAGCAACAGCAGGAGGCGGCTATGGTTGCTGTGGTGACGATGATGATGATGGTGGAGGTGTCGGAGAAGCATCGGGCGTGCTGCAGCAGCAGCAGCATCACCACCACCAGCACCAGCAGCACCATCACGAAGGCTGCGAGCGCGTGCTCGTGAACGTGTCCGGGCTGCGCTTCGAGACGCAGCTGCGCACGTTGGCGCAGTTCCCCGACACTCTGCTGGGCGACGCGGATCGGCGTTCGCGCTACTTCGACCCGCTGCGTAACGAGTACTTCTTCGATCGCAACCGACCCAGCTTCGATGCCATCCTCTACTACTACCAGTCTGGCGGCAGGCTACGCAGGCCGGCTAGCGTCCCCTTCGATATCTTCGCCGAAGAGGTGAGGTTTTACGAGCTGGGCGACGAGGCGATGGTGCGCTACCGGGAGGACGAGGGCTACGCGAGGCAGGAGGAGGAGGAGGAGAGGCCGATGCCGGCGAGCGAGTTCCAGCGCCACGTTTGGCTCCTCTTCGAGTACCCCGAGAGTTCGGGCGCGGCGCGCGGCATCGCCATCGTGTCGGTGGTCGTCATCCTCGTCTCGATCATCGTCTTCTGCCTCGAGACGCTGCCAGAGTTTCGCGACGAGAAGGAGGTGGAGGCGTCTCTGCTCGTCAACAACAACGACGACAACAACAACAACGGGACGAGCGGAACGGACGTCGGCGGCTCGTTCGCCGACCCGTTCTTCATCATCGAGACCGTCTGCATCGTGTGGTTTAGCTTCGAGCTCACGGCGCGTTTCGCGGCGTGCCCCAGCAAGCCGGCCTTCTTCAAGAACATCATGAACGTGATCGACATCGTGGCCATCGTGCCCTACTTCGTGACGCTCGGCACGGAGCTCGCGCAGCGGCAGGGCAACGGGCAGCAGACGATGTCGCTCGCCATCCTGCGTGTCGTCCGCCTCGTGCGCGTCTTCAGGATCTTCAAGCTGTCGCGACACTCCAAGGGGCTGCAGATACTCGGGCGGACCCTAAACGCGTCGATGCGCGAACTCGGCCTCCTCGTCTTCTTCCTCTTCATCGGCGTCGTCCTCTTCTCGAGCGCAGTCTACTTCGCCGAGACTGACGAGCCCGACACGGACTTCACGAGCATCCCCGACGCGTTCTGGTGGGCCGTCGTCACGATGACCACGGTGGGATACGGAGACATGTGGCCCAAGACCGTCGGGGGGAAGATCGTGGGCTCGCTGTGCGCCATCGCGGGCGTGCTCACGATCGCGCTGCCGGTGCCCGTGATCGTCTCCAACTTCAACTACTTCTACCACCGCGAGACGGACGGCGAGGACCTGGGGCAGTACTCGCACGTGTCCAGCTTCAACGTGAACGGAGGAGGAGGAAGAGCAGCAGCAACAGGAGGAGATGACGACGACGACAACGACGGAGACTTCTTGAAGCGCACGAGCAGCGAGATGAGCGTGCAGAGCGAGAGGGCCGCCGCTTCTGGTGACGGGCTGTCGTTCAACAAGAGCTTGGAACTCGGCGCACACGTGACGAACCACCTGCCCGAGCACGCGGGATTTAGAACCGACGTGTGACGATGATTTCGCGTCTCCATCATCGGTGGAGTGGCAGGGGTGGGGTGGGGCAAAGGAATATTCATTGGGGGGAGGGGTGTTTTGTGTGTGTGTGTTTCTGTGTATGTGTGTGTTTGGTAGGTGCTCGCTAACAGGACTTGCCCCTACAGCCTGTTGAGGCTATACGGGGGATCTTTGTCTTTGTGTTGGCACCTGTGGTGGGGAGCGGTGGTGTGTGGTGGTTAGCGCGCTGCGCTTTGAGTTCGATTCCCGCTCACGGCCAACACCGGTGACGATTGTCGGGAACCATTACCGGGCCTCCCCTAGGTCGACTCGGCATCAATTGAGTACCGAGTGCTACGTGTAAAAACAAAAACATCGCCACTAGGGAGACAAAGGCGGCCGGGCGTGTTGCTGACCACCCACCGACTCGTGTGCCGTGCCGGCCTTCATAGGTGCTGCTCGCTAACAGCACTTGCCCCGACAGTCTGTTAAGGCTACACGGGAGATCTTTGTCTTTGTGTTGGCACCTGTGCCATCGGCGGTGTACAATTATACAACACGGGGACCTTTCTGGCAATATCAAAGTGTGAAAAATAATAATAACAGGGTCTGCCTTCTCTGGTAATCAAACAGGAGGCGTTGAGATATTCGAACGCCGAATAAATGATTCCTGTTGCCAGGAATCACCTTACTGCGTTCACCACACGCAGTGCCCGTGCTGAGCATGCAAACAACAACATGCTCTGCACTGGTCAACACACTTTTTTTTGCATAAGGTATTCCAACGGGTTTAAGGTAATTTTGGGGTGCCGATTCCAAATCTGGCATCAGTTTGTGTCCATCACATCAGGTTTTTGAGATATCAAATATTACATTTTCAATAAAAACTGCAGAAGAAAAATATTAAATGAATGTGGATATCTACATACAATGATATTATGAACACACTATCCTAAAATATAGAACCATATTTTAACACTAACGCAGTCACTGACTCACAACAACTTGAAATCATAAGTGACAGAGTTAATTTCTGGTAAAATCAATGAAAATGGGGTATGCCGATAGCGTAAAAATGATGTGATAGAGCAAATCTGAGATCAGATTTGGAATCAGCACCCTGGAATTAGTCTAAAACAGCTGCAAAAGTCCAGGCCAGAAAAAAAAGTTTTTTTTTTGTTGACCAGTGTAATTCACCGTGTAACGAACATTTCTTTTTACTTTTGGTCCTGGGTACTAAGTGTTATTTCCTAATTGCGTATGCCTCAAACGTATAGAAAATTGCTGTTATTCCCCACAAACTTTGCTTTTGTAACGAGAACATTGATATTTATAAATGTACCTATTTTCTATGATAAAACGTGGTGTGCATTTGTGCTATTCCTTCACGTAAAGTCCTGGTCACAAAAGCAAAGTTTGTTGGGAACAATTGCCATTTTTGCTCTTAGGTTTTTTTCGGTAAAGTCACGTAGGAAAAAAACATTAAAAAAATAATAATAGAAATAAAATAATAATAAATGAAAATAATCTTCTTGGTTCTTTCGGTAAAATCACGTAGAAGGGAAATAATGAAATACATTTTTTTACTAAAATAAAACAAAAAAATAAAACAAAGATATTTTTATTATTTTATTATTTCCCTTCTACGTGACTTTACCGAAAGAACCAATAAGATGAATCCCTGCAGTCACGAAAGCTTTAAATCGAAAAATGAAAATAAATCAATTAAAACACGACGTTTCGGAGGCAACACAAGTCTCCGTCTTCAGGTGGGACCGTCACAGCTAGATTTACTGTATTTTCTATACCTTTGAGGCATAAGCAATTAGGAAATAACATTTCGATTTAAAGCTTTCGTGACTGCAGGGATTCATCTTCTTGGTTCTTTCCGTAAAGTCACGTAGAAGGGAAGTAATAATAATTATTTTATTTTATTATGTTTTATTTTTATTATGTTATTACTTCCCTTCTACGTGACTTTACCGAAAGAACTAGGAAATAACACTTACTACCCAGGGACAAAAATCGTGTTACATCGAGTATCTATTTCATACAATGGGCATTGTCCCTTGTATAAAGGTGTCAGTTTTGTACCAGTTTAAAGGGGTAAAAACCTACGACTATTTTTTGCCACTGGTAAAGGAGATGTCTCATAGTGTAAATGCTTACCCCGAGCTCTCAATACTCTGATAGTGCGCTGTCTTTGAGTTGTACGCCTTTTGGCGTCATCTGGTCCAACACCAATGGAGACTAGGCTCTAAGAAAAGCTGTCTCGGGTGTGGACCAATCAACTTCAAGGACAGTGCATATCATTATCATCATCAGAGTTGTTTCTTTTTGTTTGCATTTTGACTGCTTGTGTTGCGGTTATTGCAAACATGATGCCTTGTATAAAGGTGTCAGTTTTGTACCAGTTTAAAGGGTAAAAACCTACTACTACTATAATGGGCACTGTCTTTGAAACTCATTGAGGCCTACGCCACTGATTGGCCTCCACTTCCCCGTGATGTAGCTGCTCGCCCCGGGGACACAATTGCATTGTCCTTGTCCTGTTCGCGTACAACGCCGTCTGCGTTCTTCACGTTGCAAGAGGGCAGCTTGAAGGATGCGGAATAATGTTTTTGTTCGCGTCGAGATGTACAATTACAAAGCGCTTTGTCGGTTTGCAATGCAGAGCGAGCGCCCAGTTGTAAGTCGAACGATTTGGCCACGAGTCTGTGTGTTTAGAGCGACGGAGATTATAACGACGGTGATGATGATGATGATGACGTTATACGAACGTTCGTCGTCGACAGGAAGTAAGTCGCTCCGGTCGAAGACGAGCCCCCCCCTCCCCCCCCCCCTTGACGTTGTCAAACATTTGCTCAGCGCCGTTGCGAGCGGAAGAAATCTCGCAAGGAAGACGCAGATCACAACCCCACCCCCCGTGTAGCCTCAGCAGACTTTTAGGGGCAATTTCGGTAAGGTCACGCAGATGGAAAACAAAAAATAAAAATTATAAAATTATAAAATAAAAAATGTAAATCGTACAAATTTTATAAAATTCATTTGTAAATGTCGTGGATTCACTCTTCAACACACCGGTGGGCTAAAGTAGTGAACTATTTTGTCTTTTGTCAACGTGACACTTTTTTTACTGATTGGCCGTGTCGGGTGGTGGAGGGGTTTACGACACATTTATAATAACGCGATCTAACCCAAAAACGTTTATTATGAATAATATTGGTCGCGAAAGCTTTTATTATTTTCTATTTATTATTTTTATTTATAATGAAAGCTTTATTCTTTTCAATGAATTTATTTTTTTCCTTTAAAAAAAATAATCTATCTACGTGACTTTACCGAAAGAACCAAGAATATTATTTCCTGCAGTCACGAAAGTTTTAAGTCAACATTTGTTGGAGCAAGTGTCGTGAGCTAACACACTGCGTGCAAATCGCGCCCGTTTATAATGCCGACGAGAAACATCGAGAGGGAAAGCTGCAAGTTTTATCGTTTCGCCAGGAATCTTTCACGCTGTAGATTGAAGAAGAAGAAAAAATCAATCGGCTTCGCTACATTTCGAGTTAACGTTGTTCTCCCGACTCTTTAAGGTGCTCTGTAAAGTAAGACAAAGTTCCCCCGTATAGCCTCAACAGACTGTTGGGGCAAGTGCTGTTAGCGGGCATCTATAAAAGCCGGCACGGCACACGAGGAGGTGGGTGGCCAGCACCACGCCCGGCCGTCTTTGTCTCCCTAGTGGCGATCTTTTTTTGACACATAGCACGAGGTACTCATTTGAGGCTGAGTCGACCTAGGGGATGCCCAGATATTTGTCACTGGTGTTGGCCTTGAGCGGGAATCGAACTCGGGTTGCCGGGTTCGTAGTGCAGGGCGCTAACCGCTACACCACCGCTCCCCACATAGACACCCTCACAAACACTCACTCTCTCACACACTCTCACTCACTCTCACACACACACACTCTCACACTAACACACATTCTCACACACTATCACTCTCACACACCCTCACACACACTTACACACACACCTCTCACTCTCACACACACTCACACACACACTCTCTCTCACACTCACTCACACACACTCACACTCTCACACACACTCTCACACTAACACACATTCTCACACACTATCACTCTCACACACCCTCACACACACACTTACACACACGCTGTTACACACTCACACACACACTCTCTCACACTCACTCACACACACTCACACTCTCACTCACACTCTCACACTAACGCACACTAACACACACACTCTCATCCTCACTTTCACCCACTCACACTCTCACACACTTACACACACTCTCACACACACTCTCACACTCACTCACACACTCTCACACTAACACACACTCACACACACACTAACACACACACATACTCTCACACTTACACGCACACTCTCACACACACACTCACACTAACACACACTCTCATACACACACTCTCACACACTCACGCACACTCTCACATACTCTCACACACTCTCACACACACACACACACTCTCACACTAACACACACTCTCACACTTACACTCTCACACACTCACACACTCTCACACACACTATAACACACACTCTCACACTCACACACACTCTCACACTTACACTCTCACACACTCACACACTCTCACACACACTCTCACACACACTCTCTCACACTATCACACACACTCTCTCACACTATCACACACACTCTCACACACACTCACTCTCACACCCACTCACTCTCACACACTCACTCTCACACCCACTCACTCACACACTCACACTCTCACACACTCAAACACTCTTTCACACTCACTCACACACTCTCACTCTCACACTAACACACACTCACACACTCACACTCTCACACACTCGCACACACACTCACACACACTAACACACACACTCACACACACTCACACACACACACAGGCGCGATGAATTAGCATGAATTATTGCTACGGCTCTGGAATATTCGTTTGTTTTGTGAACCGCATCAAACTCGTTTTAGAACTCGGAATGCCGCGTTTGGGGTGTGCGGATGGACCTGAACCTACAGACGGCACGATCGACTTTTGTTGGGTTTTTTTTTAACGTCGGTTCGTGCTTCTGTGTGGAGAGGGAAAAACAATGAAGCCTTCTGCCCCGCTGCTGCTGTAAATTTGGTGTAACTCAGAGGTCACAACCGGGTACCCGATACCCGTACCCTACCCGATACCCGGCTACCCGTACCCGTTTGCGACCCTGGTGCGGCCGGGTACGGGTACGGGTAGGCCGTGAGTCACTGGTGAGTAACCGTTTGTCACTCATTTCGGGTAGGGTACGGGTACGGGTAGGGAACGGGTACCCATTTGCGACCCTGGTGCGGCCGGGTACGGGTACGGGTAAGGAATCAAAACCCGTTTTCGACCTCTGGTGTAACTGCGTCTCTGCCCGGATCGTGATGGAGTCGAGCACGAAGGCTAAAACGCGAACATGGATTTCCCACGAAGGATTTGAATGAAAATTAGCCGAGATTTTTTTTTCCGTCGAGGACAAGGTGGAGGAGGGAGGATTTCATACCAAGGGGTCCGTTAACAGTGACGGCTTGAAATCGTGGAAGGTTTCAATAGTGATCGCTCCGTCGCCCTGGATGCAGACATCATCAAGGGAACGCGTCGCAGCTGTAACGAAGCTGCGGATTTTGGAATTCATCCCAACAATCTCCACCCACCCCCCACCCCTCCTCCTCTATTTCTCTGCAGAATATTATTTTGGTATTTCAACTGCAGGTGGAATCCGATGAGCTAGAAAGCTCTTTCTTTTCCACAGATGTCCAGTCGGGGGCATGGGCTGAGAACATTGCAACAACAACAATTACACAAAAACACAATCGGAGTGCAAAGTACAAGACGGATAAACACATCACCCAGACACAGACACAAATACTACATATTCTTAGGTTTTTTCGGTAAAGTCACGTAGGTAAAAATTGAAAATTAATAAAAGTAAAATAAAAATAAAATAAAAATCACGACGTTTCGGAGGCAACACAAGCTTCCGTCTTCAGGTGGACCCGTCACAGCACGATAGCTGTATCACTTTTATTAATTTTAAATTTTTACCTACGTGACTTTACCGAAAAAAACCTAAGAATATGAATCCTTGCAATCACGAAAGCTTCAAATCTACAAATACTACACTCAACCATGCCCCATCCTACCAGGCAAAGCCACTGAGGCTGTGAACTTGTTTTTCAGAAGCGACCCGGCCACCCCAAATGATAGCCGCTCAACAAAGTGGCCCCCCCCCCATCATCATTTGGACATTTTGAGCAGCAAAAAAAATGATCAAAATAATCTCAACGCGTGGTTCTAAATTGCGGAGGGAGGAAAGGGGAGGGAAATGGGGAGCTGAGTCAGAGGTCGCAACCGGGTACCTGATACCCGTACTCTACCCGATACCCGGCTACCCGTACCCGGCCAGGTACGGGTACGGGTACCCGTTTGCGACCCTGGTCCTGCCGGGTACGGGTAGGCCGTGAGTCACTGGTGAGTAACCGTTTGTCAC